GGCGCTGACGTCGCCGCCGCCGCACCAGCCCCAGGGAAGGGCGGAGCGAGAGGGGACCGGGTGGGGCGGGGCTACGGCGACGTGCGGACGCTGGGATTGGCCGCCGAGCTCACGCCCCGCCCTTCTGCGAAGGGGTCTGGGAAGTCGGGTCTTCTGTGAGTGATAGTCGCAGCCCACTTGCAGCTCCTCGCTGCCGGCTTTCCCCTTCCTCATACTGCTATAGGCTCTTGCAGTAGCTTCCGGACCTTGCGAGGGGTTAAAGCAGTGACACAGCAGGGACTGAGGCTGGGGATGCCTTATGGACCTTTGTCTGACGGACCAGATCTAGCCCTACAAGAGTCTTTTGACCTCTAGCATGCTCTTACCCGGATTTTTCCGTTTTCCCCCAACTCACCCGCATCCCCCTCCTCCGTACTCAGTATCTCTCTGGCCTCAATGAAAGGAAATACGGCAAGATGAGGTAGGCAAACGGGTGCTGGCTAACCAGATGTGTGAACCAGGAAGGGCTGAAAATTCAGTTAGTGGTAACACCACAAAGCCGCCTGTAGGCACAGGGGGTATTTGGTTCTGTCGTTACTTCAGCGCTGTCATAAAGCCCTTCTCCTTTAGTTTTGCAAAACTTATCTCCCCTTTAGTTGACAAAAGACTTTGAAAGCTGTCTTTTGATTAGAGGGAGGAGCCTACTAGCCATTGAGGCAACCCCAAAGCAATCGGGAGGTGGAAGTAATAAGGTCTTGGCTTTATTGGTGTTAACCATTGTCTACAAGGCCTAACTTGAGGGTGAGAAAGCTATCTTGCTTCCTTTAAATGCCCTCGTCAGGCAAGTTCTTCAGTAACTTTCAGAATAGCTGTTAGGAGTATAGGATCTAGGCTGGAATCTTGGTTCCTCCACTTCTTAGCTACGTAACCTTGTCATGTTGCTTAACAACATGGCTAGGAGAAATAATAAATAACATTTGGAAGTTATTGTTATTTTTCCTTTAATTTGATTCAGCTCTAGTGTAGTTTGCCAGGATGTGCCATTAACAGATCCAAAAGACTCTTCCAAAAGAATTTTAAAACATCTAGTGCTTGTTATCTACACCTCTCATTTTTCAGATAAGGTCAGAAAGATAAACTGATAGGCCAATGCTAGAAGAGAATTGCAAGTATCTTGATGTCCAGGTTAGTGCACTTTCCCTGGTCTATACCTCCAGACTTCTCTTCCTTATATCCTACCACCATCCTCTTTTCTCTTCCCCAACCTGTATATATTACTGCCCAGCCTCACCCTCTTCCTTTCCACAGCCACTGTAAAACAGGGAAAGGAAACCTTTCAGAGGCCACAGTATTCCAAATAGAAAAAAAAGCAAAGGACCTCAGGATTCCTTATCTCATTTTAATTTTATCGAAATTTATAATGAACAAGGAATAACATTTTTCCAGTGAGCAAAGGTAAGAGATCTTTCCATGGGTAAGTTCCGCCACAGCATTTCTAAGAAAATTACTGGCAAGATGGAATGTTGATATGAGCAATACTGGATAAAATCAGCCCCTCCTACCCTTTTTAGTTACTTCTGCAAATAGCTGCTATTTTGATGAAAACAATATAACTATTCAAAGAAATACAATTTTTTCCCCAAACCTCATAATCCAGAGATAACCATTTTTAAAAGTTCATGATATATTCTTTCAGATATCTCTAAGAATAAAAAAAAACCTGAGACATATAAATACAATATTTCATAAATGAGATCTTATATACACAGTTCTTTTCTCACTGAACAATATGTCACAAGTAACATTATTTTAAAAAGATACATGGTATCCATTAAGTGGACATACCATGATTTATCTAACCAGTATTCTATTGATTTACATTTTTTCCAAATTTTTACTAACATAAACAACTCTTTGATGAACTTCTCTATGCATGTCCTTTTTTACAACTGTACAGTAATCTTGGAAAAATTGCTAGATGTTACATTTTTGTCAGCCAATTCTTTAAAAATTAGCAACAAGAAAAATAAGTTTGGGCCACTTTGGAAAATATACTGTATCTATGGGACTCAAATTGACCAGATTCTCCCATTTGAAACATATAAATATTGGACAGTGTTGTTGTCTTCCTGGTGTGGTATTTCGATAATGTGTCAAGGCTCCTTGGAGCATGGTGGTAGATACTGCTAGTTGTTTAAGACAATATTCTTTCTTCCTTAGTAGCAGAACTGATTTTTTTTTTCAGGGTGATAATGTGTCCAGTTAAAAATCTTTACTTCTTCAGACTCTTGTAAGCCATGGTTGTCCATGTGACCTATCAACAAAATTAAAGTGGATGTTGCTAGCAGTTTTATGGAAAAAATGTTGAGCATGGTGGTAGATACTGCTAGTTGTTTAAGACAATATTCTTTCTTCCTTAGTAGCAGAACTGATTTTTTTTTTCAGGGTGATAATGTGTCCAGTTAAAAATCTTTACTTCTTCAGACTCTTGTAAGCCATGGTTGTCCATGTGACCTATCAACAGAATTAAAGTGGATGTTGCTAACAGTTTTATGGAAGAACTGTTCATTTAGTCATTGGACTTGTACCCATTTTTTTTTTTTTTAACTGGAACAGTGGTATGATGCTGAAGGTGGAACAGCCATATTTCAACCATAATAGCAAAACTCTACACACTGTTAATAGTGTAGGAAGACAGAGGTGTCTGGCTCATGATTGCTTTGGAGGGCCAGCTTACCAGCTCTAGATTGCTCATTTCTAGGCTTATTGTTACATGAAGGAAAATAAATCCCTCCTATTTAAGGTTTTGTTGTTTGGGTTTTCTATTCCAAGCACTGAATGCAATTCCTACCTGATATCTTAAGATAAAAGATATCATCATTTATTTAGCACTGTATGTAGAATTTTTAATAGAGTAAGATGAAAATGGGGACACAATGGAAACAAGCAATGAAAACAACAAATCACTCTCTTCTCTAATGAACTTAGTTTCCTTTTAAATGCCCAATTATTACAATTAGATTAACAGATCATTTTGTAATAATTAGATTAACATCCTTAAGTAAATTACATTCATTGATAGTAGTTTTAAAATATGTCCACAAGTTCTTTGATACTTCTTCTTTCGAAAGATGGAGCTGAATTCCCCTCACCTTGAGCTTGGGCTGTGCTTAGTGACTCGTTCTCATGAATTGAACTTTGTAGAAATGATATAGCGCGATTGCTTAGGGAAGATTATAAAACATGCAGAGAGGCCCACATTAAGAGTAATTAAGGCTTCCAGCCAACAGCTGGTGAGAAACTGAGGCCTCCTGACGACAGCAATGTGAGTGAACTTAGAAGCATATCATCCAGCCTTTATCAAGCCTGCAGATGACTGCATCCCAAATCATCTTTACTGAACCTCAAGAGAGAACCTGAGCCAGAACCACTTAGCTAAGCTGCTCTTGAATTCCTGGTCCACAGGAACAGTGAATTAATACATGTTTGTTGTTTTAAGCCATTATATTTTGGAATAATTTGTTATACAGCAAAGATAACTAACATAGGTGGGTATAATAGCGCCTAGCACAATGCCTGACACATATCAGTATTTAATTATTTGTTGTTTGAATGAATAAACAATTGAATGAAGTAGAATATATTTTTTCCACTTTAATTGGTGAAATACAATGCTGGTATTATCTTTGATTCCCTGACACTTGTATTATATGAGTTTTCTAACATAATCGTAGAGAAATCAACTGTGAATATTACTGAAATCTAAACATTAACAGTCCTCGGAGAAACATGTAGTGAATAGAGCAATAGAACCCTTGAGACTTGAATAGTGTTCTCAATTTTATCAGCTGCTTAGCTTAGTGGCCAATGGCAAGTCACCTAAACCCTCTACATCAATTTTGCTATCCACAAATTGGGGAAAATAACCCCAATCTGCCTCAAAAGGTACTCAATGAGATTATATGCAACTGTGTAATTGTAAAGCATTAATATTCTTTTAATTACATTAGGCTCATTGCATTTTTAAGCAATTAAGCATTAAATATTTTAAATGTGTACACCATGAAAACATTTTTTTTCAAGAAGTGATAACTTACTGATTTTACTCTATGCCATTGTAAAATATTAGCATCATTCATAGTATGCAGTTAAGATTTAAGAATATCCAGGATGGTAGGTTGTTATATGTCAGATCTCATTTTATTAGCCTGTTGAAAATTTATTGCACTTTAAAAAGAATACATAATTATGACTGGCTTCTTTTTCTTTTCATGAATTAATTTGTAATTGTGGTTGGGTGTGCGCCCATCTTCATGGTAACAGTGGTAGTTAAACACACTTAGTAATCGACATACGTTAACCAATAATTTGGTCTGAGTCTAAGAGTTTATCCTAGAGCAAAATTGCATCCAGCAGCAAGAAAATAAATGATAGAATACATGTCTTTCTCTTTTAAAGAAGAGGACATGGGACACAGGAGAAGTCTTTATACAATGGAGCATCAGAAATAGGTATTATGCAATTATTGATTGCACAGTTTGGTGGCCAGAGGTAAATATATGAGGATGAGTAAGACACAGTCTTAGTGTAAGATTCGA